ATATATGTTGTATCCCTTAGTTGAATCTGAGGAAGAATAATTGTGAACCATTATTTGTTGATACTGGAAGTTTTTAGGTGGACTACAGTCCCGTGGTTTTTCCCGCATTGAGTTTTCCATGTTAAAATCTTGGTGTTGATTAATTTTACAATTGAAGTCGGGTATCCTATTAAAATGGTCCAAAACCATAATTTTATAGTTAAAATCAAGTTTGTTAGGTCAAAATTTATCAAAATCAATTTATGAAGGTAAAATATGTTATTTTATGGTAAAAATAAGTTTCCATCAGAACAAGCCAAAACCGATGTTTTGCAGTCAAAATCAAATTTAACATGTTAAAACTGGTAAAGAAATGATTATTTATCAGGGTAAATTCATTATTTTGCAGTTAAAAAAGTTTTAGAGTAAAAAAAAAAAAATCAATTATCAAAATGGATTATTTGGTTTTGCTGATTGAATGTAAATGAATAAAACCTGATGATATGGATGATGCAAAATGGAATTGACTTAATAGAAAGACTATTGCTAATGTTAGAAAATGGGTATCTTCTAAGTCCATTAATCATATTTCTCAAGAACATGATTGTTATAAAGTTTGGAAGATGTTGAAAGAAACATTTGTTAAAGAGAGTGCACAAAACAAGATTTTCGTAATTATAAACTTTGTGAATTTGAAGTATAGAGATGGTGAAGATGCTTCGTTGCATATAAATATATTTCAAGGATTTTTGAATCAGCTGTTATTGATGAATCTGGAGTTAGTTGATGAAATGTAAATACTAAATTTATTAAGTTTATTGTCGGATAATTGAGAGATATTAGTTAATAATTTTACTTTAAATAGAAAAATCATTTTAAAAACAGTGAAGAATTATATTTTTAATTAAAAAAAAAGGAAGGATGTTGTACTCTCTTCATATTCTCGAACTTCATGTGATTGGTTAACAGAATCACACAATATCAGGACGCCACAGAGTGATTCTTTCTCGTGATCATCAGATTAGAAAAATATGTAGTGTTCAATGTCAAACCTGTTGTGTGACTGTCAAGTCATGGCTAAAGAATTTTTCATCCATGAGGAACCATATTTGATGTTATCTTACCGATGGTGAAAGGAGGGCCTGCAGCCTCTAAGGTTGACAGTGGATGGAAGAGGCTGTTTAAAAATTAATTAATATTTTAATTTTCAAGAAAATTGGAGTGCAAAAAAGAAAACTTGAACTTTCTGTTCGAATGTAATATTTCTCTGTCAAGAAATTTTTAAAAGTAGTTTTTAAAATTTGTGTTGAAATCGTTGGTGTTATTCAAATAATGATTTGAGAAAAACTGTGAGGAGTAGAGTTTAATTAGTGAGATTTTAAATTTATTTTTTACATATCATTAATTCAATGGTTTTTTCTAATGTAAACAATATGTTATCTCGAAGTTAAGTGTGTTTAAAAATTAAAACGAAATTGATTCTCAAGTTGTATACTTAACAATGATGGGCATATACCAATTCAATCAATGGGTCCCTCCATCACCATGATTCTGTAAGATTTTTCCTTTGATTTCTGAGAACCACACAAGCCATCTCAACACATGCCCTTCCAAGATTGCAACACATGTCCACTAAGAGCTTCTTTAATTCAGACCTTTTTTAAAAAGTGAACAGATCTGATGGAATGGAGGTCCAGTTGAATGACGCTATCTTCAAAGTGAACTGCAGGTTCCACGAAGGAACGTATGCCAGAAGCAAACGGGGTTGACTATAAGAAGCGAAGAGTGAAAGAGTCATTTGCCCTCCGATTCCATTGATCAAATCTTGTTGCCTTCGATGGCCTATCTTCTCCTTTACAAATTGGTGGTGTGTGCTAAGGCGATTGAAGGTGGAAGCCTGAATGTTGCAGATTCACTTTTGGCAGAAATTCAATCTCTAGCTTCTAAAGAAGAGAGCATATGGACGAGGAAAGTTGTCAAATACTTCGCTGAGGCTCTTGTCCGGCGAGCCTATGGAATTCGTCCTCCATGTATTTTTCCCTTGCTATCAGCCGCATGCATGTATGTTCCTTTCTACGCGTTTGCTAGAATCACCAGTAAACATGCCATTGCTGATGCCTTGAATTCGGGAAATAAACGACTCCACATTATTGACTTCTCCAATTTCGGCGATTATTGGCGGTGGCGTTACTTAATTAAAGAACTCGAACAGCATTATGGTGGCCTTCAATCAGTCCTAATAAGCAGTATCTCACCAAAACTGTCAAAACACTCTTGCCATCCCCGTTTCCACCGGGGATGGGCTGAGGGCGGAAATGTGGAATTGTGGGGATGGGCTGAGGGCGGAAATGTGGAATTGAGGCACTTGATATGCAATATTCCGTATGGTATTGTCAATTGTATTTCCGAACTCAGAAGGAAAAGGGAGGATGAGATTGTGGTTGTGAATTGGAATTTTACACTCCACAAACTGCTTGCACAAGATGGGGCAATGGAGCAAGTGCTTTCAAAAGTGAAGGATTTGGGAGCGGACATCATGGTAATTGTTGAGCAAGAAGCCAATCTTAACAGCCCTTGTCTTTCGGAGCGGCTCGAACAATCATTCCAATACTACTCCACTATTTTTGAGTCACTGGAGGAAGATTATGGTAGCAACGCCTTATGGGAGATGTATTTCAGGCGACAGATTGGGAATGTGGTGGCATGTGAGGGCGTTGACCGGGTCGAGCGGATTGAGTCATTTGCTCACTGGCAAAATCGCCTATCTCAGGCTGGGTTTTGTCCAGTTCCCCAACAGGTAGACAAGTTGGAGGAAGATCTTTCTAATTTTAAAGAATTTGGAATCGAAGAGAAGGAAGGGCATACCCTGCTACTCAGGCACGGTTTTCCGGTAGCTGTAGCCTCAGTTTGGAAGGTCACTGATCCTCCTCAATTCAGTGGCGGTGAATAATCCAATTCCATCCTTTCCATTCTCTTCTCTTGTTATACTAATTATCCATCAATAAATTCGTTGTGTGTATTTTCACTTTAGGCTACTGGAAAAACATGTTGACAGGTCTTTACACAATGCAAGATAGAGTTGACGACTCAGAAGGGATGGCGAGCTCCTCTGAGTCTGAGGATGATGAAGAAAATGATTCTCTAGCTTTCATAATGGCAGATAGAAACTTATGGTCCACACAGGTATCGTTCTCTGTTTCCGAGATTTAACAAATTTCATAGTTTTATCTTTATGGCATGGAGAGATTGCAACAACTTCAAATTCGTTAGACATAAATTAGAAGCTTAGAATATAATTCTTGCTTTGATAAATGGCAAAAAAATCAATCTAAAAGAGTTTGATCCACTGCTTGTGATAAATATTTTTTATGTTGATGCCATTAGTGGTGTCGTTGATCACACAGGGCTCTTCAATTAATCGAATAGCTGCTTCAGCTAAGTTATATGACATATTGGAATATATATGTGATCTACATGAGTTACCACTGGCTGTGACATGGGTTTCCTATGGCCAAGATGGTAATACAAATTCAAAGGGAAAACGTGTTCTATGTATTGATGATAGCGCTTGCTATGTAAATGACTGGTTAATGGATGGATTTGTGGAAGAATATGCACAACATCGTCTGGAGGAAGGAAAAGGTATCGCCGGAAAAGCACTTCAATCTAATATTCATATCCAGCATGACATTTCCGTGCTTAATCCAGCTGAATTCCCTTGTGATGATTGCGGAACAATTAGCCGGTGGATCAGAAAAAATTACGCTGCTTTTGCAATAAGGCTAACAAGTACCCACCCTTGCAAGGATGATTACGTATTGGAATTTCTTCTCCCTGAACTCATGAAAGAGACTTCAGAACGAGAACTTTTGATAAATAAGGTGTTGCGTACATTGCAGAGGAAATGTTTAAAGTTGTGGAAACTTGGGGTTAGAGACATCAATGAGGCTAGATTGAACGCAACCAGCATTGAAGCAGAAGAAACACGCGAGCTTCTTGAACAGGTGCTCTTCTATACTCTCTCGTTTTACAAGATTATTATTTGTTTTTCATTTTATAAGATTATTATTTGTTTTTTTTAATTAATTTTTTTTTTATTTATCATATTTGATCCTTTTGGAAAGCATTCTCATTTAATTTTATTATTTTCCAGTTTTTTTTCATGATACTAAAAATTATTTTTTAATTTATTTTTTATAATATTATTAGATATTAAAAAATAATTTATTTTTCAAGAATTTATTTAAAAAAATTATTTTTCAAACAAACAAGCATACATGTCATTTGAAAAATATTTTTAATGAATAACACCATTTAAAAATTATGAAAAAAATTGAAATATCATGTTATTTATTTATTATATCAAATTTGATTTTTAAACTTTTAATTGCTATATATTTTATATGAAATTTTTTATTTTTAATTTTATTTTTTTATAATTTGATTTAATTTATTTTTTATATTATTGTTATTTATTTTTTATATTATTTTTTTAATTGAAGTTTTTTATTTATCAAATTTAATCTTTATTTTATTCAACTTTTTAATTTATAAGATTTGTTCTTTATTATTTTAATAAATTTTAAAAAAATAAAATATTAACAAATTATTTTCCAATTTTTTTTTATGATATAGCCAAACATTAAAAAATATTTTTTAATTTATTTTTTATAACATTATAAAATATTAAAAAATAATTTATATTTTAAAAAATTATTTTTAACAAATAAATAGAGCCTACGCATCATTTGCTATAAAAAATTCTAGGCAGCTCTGGTATCTAAGAAATTGGATTCTAGTTATTTAGATTAAGAAACTTTAAATTAACTCATTTTTATTTAAAAATATTAAAAAAATAAACCCTTTAATAATATTAAAATTAAAACTCAAACCATATAAAAATAAATTGTTTGTGATTCATTATAAAAAATTCTAGCCAACAGTAACAGTAATGTAGTAGTGATTACTTTTTAAATAATTTTTTATAATGAAATGTTTATTAATAATTTTTTATTTTTTTAAATTTTTTTTAACATCAATACTTTAAAACGATTTATAATATATAAAATATATTAAATTTTAATAAAAAAATAATTTTTTAAACATATTAAACTACTTTTCCAAATAATCCTTCAATAATCTGCCTTGTCAGATGGATAAAAAAGACCCTCTGTTTTGAATGGACACCCATAATGTGTCCAATCACAGCTTTCTATGTGGCAGATTTCCTTCCGCAGATTGCGCAAGGGTGGAATAATTATTGTTCAGTAGATAAATTACATTTGATAATTCGCATATAATAAAATCCATTTTGCCTCCGTTTTGCTTGTATGTTCAACTATTCAAGAAGACACAATCTGCCAATATTATTGACTGGAATTGGCTTTCATGCTGCCAACATCCTCCTTCCCTATCTCTTGACAGGACGTCCATGAACAATCTGCTATACCCGCACCTGCTCTGAATGGTGAGAATGCATCGCTTAGTGGTCTCCAGAGTACTAATAAACGAAGAAAGATATCAACTGTGTGGGACGGATTCGTTAAGCATAGGGGAGAAAATGGGGAAGAATGGGCCACATGTAGATATTGTAAGAAGAAGTATAGAGCAGAAAGCACAAGAGGAACTTCAAATTTTCTTAAGCACTTAAAAAAATGTTCGCCAAGCAGACAGGACGAAGCAGGGAAGCAAATTGTGGTTGAGACAGGTGACTTGAGTACTAGCGTCATCCAAAGGAATTTTGTCATAAATCAAGAAAGAAGTCGTCTAGACATTGCAAAAATGATGATTAAGCATGGATATCCCTTGGCAATGGTTCAACATGAGTTTTTTGAAATTTTTGTGAAGAATTTGCAGCCAGTGTTTAAACTTTATTCAAAGGACGAGGTTACAGATGATGTCCTCGCTATTTGCAGGCAAGAGAAGGAGAAACTCATCAATTGTTTTGATAAGCTCTCTTCTCTCTTGAGTTTAACACTTGAATTGTGGTCATCTACTGACAAAATGATGACCTGCTGCTTCACCGTGCACTTCATTGACGATGGATGGCAGCTGAAGAAGAAGATTCTTGCTTTCAGGAACTTACGGTACAACTATGACATGGGGACTGTACATGAAGTCTTTAAAAGTGTGCTTACAGAGTGGAGCATCAACAAGAACGTTCGCTTCATAGTCCTGGATATAACTCCTCCAAATGATCACATGATTGGAGAATTAAGAAGTAAGGTTTCTGATCAAGCCCCACGTATCCATGGACATCTTTTCTGTGTTCCTAGTTATGCCCAAATTCTCAGTCTCCTTGCTCAAGATGGATTTTCTGAGATAAGGAGTGTGCTTTATAAGATAAGAGAATGTATAGAGTACGTCAACGGAAGCTCACTTAGAAGGCAGAGGTTCCAGGAGGCAATTAATGATGGGAGTTTGCTGGACAGGGAAATGCGTATTCTAGATGTTCCCGCGAGATGGGACACCACCTTTCTTATGCTTGAGAATTCATTGGAATTTAGAACAGCATTTAACCACCTAGAGCAATTTGATTGTGATTTCAAAGTGAATCCATCTGCGGAAGAATGGAACAAGGCAACATCCATATGTGAGTGCTTGAAGGAGTTCTGCAAGTCAACATGCAATCCAACAAGCAGAGAGCATTATTTCCTGAATGTTTGTGATGTTTATAATAATTTGCTTAAGTGGGAACAGAGTGATTACGTGTATGTTCGTGCTATGGCAAATAGAATGAAGGGAAAACTTGACGAGTATTGGGGAGAAGCTAGCTTGGCTTTGGGAATCTCAGTTGTTCTTAACCCGTACTTTAAATGGGACATTATTGAGTATGGCTACCAGCAGATATACGGCAGTGATGCTGACTTGCATTTATCCAGATTCCGATACGATCTTAAATGTGCATACCATAAATATGCAAAGGACATCAGCAGTCAGGGACCCTCTTCTTCTGCCATGGCTGACGTGAGTCCTCGTACATCATCTGATATTAGTTTCATAGAGTGGCGCAAGGGTAAGTATGAACGCAACATGGTGCACTCACAACGGAATGAGCTTGATCAGTATCTACAACTGCCGCCTCCAGTGAACTTGGATAAGGATGGTAACATATTAGCTTGGTGGCGAGACAATGCTCGAAATTTTCCAATACTGGGAAAAATGGCTCGTGATTTCTTAGCAATTCCAGTGTCAACTGTCATTTCCAATTCATCAGAGGTTATGAAGATGGCATCAGTCCATGACGGTGTTCGTCCTGAGATAGCCGAGGCTTTGATATGTGGAAAGGATTGGTTGGACAGCCCTAACTGGAAGTAAGTTTTCCTTTTCTTTTTGCTCGATTTAAGTGTGATGCTTTTATATCTCTGCTATCTGTTCATTTATCTCTTCTTCTTCTTCTTTTTTCTTCAGCAATTGATCCATGTTTGGATCCTCACTGGTAGTTGCTAGTACTGTGAAATAAGTTCTTCCCAGGTAAACACTGGCCTTCTCTTTTATTTCCAAGAACAAGATTTGTCTGCAGAGTGAAAAATCAAAATGCGCATATAATCTGCAGTCTGCATGAACAATAAAACTAGGCTGGAAAGTAATTCTGAAATGAAAACAAATAACAAGTAACAAGGTACATTATTTTTCTATGCCGCAGGGTCAACCAGGCTGAGCATATCTGATTTGGATGTTGTAGAAGAATAGTACTGGACATAAGAACCTGAAGTGACGAAGACTCATTATTTGCTTAATTTTATGATATTGTATTTTGTATTTTAAGGTGTTTATGAAAATTTCTCCTTTCTTGCAAATATTTATTTGTATTTATCAAAATAATTAATATGTCAGAAACAAATTTAGCTAGAGTTTTAAAATTCGGACTGTTCCGACAAGTCAATTCAGGACCTGGCTGACCCGGGTCTGGAACCGGTCCAGGTGGAGGTAAAACCTCACTTGGGAATTGACCTGGTGAAATCCAGTCAACCCGGAGGTTCGACTTGAGAACCGAACGACCTAGTTAAACCCAGCTGAGACCCGACTTTTACATGCACATAAAACAACATTGTTTTTGCCTTATTCATTAATTCCCGAGAAATTCATAAAATCTCTCAATTTTTCCAATAATTGCATCTTAGACAATTTCTCCAAAATTATTGTTACTTTGTTTGAATGATCATCAAAGTTGGAATATGGATCACAGTGAACAAAATGTCCAAACCAACATTCATATTTTCTAGTAGATGGGATGTCTGCGGTTTGACAATAAAAGAACAGAAATGACAAAACCTAAATTACCTAATCTCGTAAATCTTCAAAGCCATTTAGTTGTGATTCGCGAAGCAGAGCAGAGGAGCAGAAGACATCAAGGCAAGCCATACTGGTTCAAGTCTGCGAATAAGGTTAGATGAAGTTCATGTTGCTTGTTTCTCTTCATGACTCTTCTTCTTTCACTCTCTCTCTTCTTTATTCTGTCTCTTTTTTGAACTTGTAGTTCTTAATTAGTTGATCTAGCATCGATTCTTTCTTAAACCCAAATGATAATTTGGATGAAATGGTTGGGTTACTTGATGAGTTGGTTGGATTGTTTACTGGTGTTAAAGGATATGAGAATGTTGTCATTGGTGTTAAAAATGTTTCGGTCCAGTGATGCCATGATGAACAGAAGATGGTGGTTGACATTTTAAAGGATGAAAGTGAAAATTTAAAAGTATTGAATATTGGGTTTGCTGTTGCTGCTGCAGCAGCAACTTGCGTTAGATTTTTTAGGTTGACTTGTGAACTTATTTGATTCATGATCTAATTATTATACCGATCGATCATTGAATTGGGTTTAAAAATTATAAATTTAGCTAGAATTATACATCAATTACCTTCATTTCAGACCAGCAAAATTATGTTTGCATTATTTCACTTATGATATTATGTTAATCATATTTACATTAATCTTTTTAAGAAAAAAATCATGATGGCCATCAAAATAAAAATAATAATGATAATAATGATCATTATATTATTGTAAATTAATTTTTCAGGCCTTACTAAATAAAATAAAAATATTTGTCTCGTAATATCCGTATCAAATGTCTTATGATAGCCACTAATTTATTTAAAAGATTCATTAGAACATGTATTTTAATATAAATAACAAAGATTCATTAGAACGTGTATTTGAATATAAATAACATTATTCAAAATTAACAACATAAATAAGATTTATATTTTGAATAATAAAAAAACAAAGATCTAGAAATTAAAAGGTTAAATTATTCAAAGTCATTTTAAATTCTATGGTAAAAGTAAGCTACTATTTATCTAAACTTTAATTTTCTTATTCAAATATCATAAACTATTTTTTGGTAAGAAAAAAACTTTTATTTATTTATTTTTTGTTTCTGTTTATTTTTTCAAATTACATATATTTTTGGGATACCTATTATGTTTCTAAATTATTACCTATGATTGAAATTAATTAAAAAAATTATTTATTTTTAAAATGAGTTTAGGTAATGAAATTAAAAAATAATAATAATTAGAGTACAATTTGATCTAAATTCCCAGATAATTTTAACAATTTAGCCAAATTGAAAAGAGAAAAACAAAGGACCGTTTGAAAACGTTTCGAAACTCGTATGAAGGTTTTCCTTTCGGTCTTTTTCTCTGGGTGAGAGCAAACCGAGGTAGAGCTCACTTTCCTTATCCAAAACAACCACACAGAAAGGCCACAGGCAACGTAAACAAGGAAACCCCTAAAACCAAAAAGATTGCAGATTTCCTTTCAATCAAAACGAAAATGCCCCTTCTTCTCTCCAATCCTCTCACCTCGCTCTCTTCACTTCCCCCCTTTTCATCTCCAACTTTGGCCGTCATTGCAACACCAGGTACCCACTTCTTTAGATTTGTCTCATGTTTGCAGTTTTTGCTAATATGGGCTGTATCGACGGTGAATTTTATTATTTCTGCTTTTCAGCACCTGTTAGTATAAGCTTATTTGGTTTCACTTCATGCTCGCTAGCCCGTTTCATCGAACACTTATCACTTGCTTCCTAAGTTCAACCTGACTGTGTTCGACCTGAGATAGCTGAGGCTTTGATATGTGGAAAGGATTGGTTGGACAGCCCTAACTGAAAGCATGTTTTCATTTTCTTTTTGCTCGATATTTAAGTGTGAGCTATCTGTTTATTTTATTTCTTCTTCTTTTTTCTTCAGCAATTGATTCATGTTTGGATCCTCACAGGTAGTTGCTGACCTTCTCTTTTATTTCCAAGAACAAGATGTTGTTTGCAGAGTGAAAAAATCAGAATGCGCATATAATCTGTAGTCTGCGTGAACATTAAAAACTAGGCTGGAAAGTAATTCTGAAATGAAAACAAATAGCAAGTGACGTGATGTTTTTAATTATGAGAAAGAAGGTGATGGTGCACAAAGGTAAATAATTTTCAAGTATTCCATGTATAATTTCAATGCTTAATTACTGAAAATTCAGTGATAATAAAAACCAGCACTTCGATTCTTCTATGTGTAGTTGCAATCCCGGAGTGATGTATAAAAATGTATTATCATGCTAAAATCCCCTCACATAACTGCCACAAACCCACTACACCATAATTTTTGGCCTAAACTATTATTATAAAAATCGGTGGATCAATCTAAGTGAAATTTTATATCAAATTAGATTGAATTTTATAAAAAATTAAACTAAGAATTGACACAATTAAAACTCAATTAACTTATTAGATCAATCTATGTTTTAGCTGATTAGTTAATATCTAAGTGAGATTTGTTTCACTTTTTAAAAAGAAATTACTTCAAATATTTTTTTATAAATTTAAAATAATATTGTTTATAATTAATCAAAGTTCACTTACAACTGAATTATAGATTAAGAGAGTGTTTGAAAATATGGTAATAATTATTTTTTAAAGTATTTATTTTTTAAAAATATAAAAAAATAATATTTTTTATATTGTATTTATTTTTTAAAAATATAAAAAAATAATATTTTTTATATTAATACATTAAAACAATCTAAATCTAAGTATCATAGTTATTATAATTATGACCTATACAGTGGCCTCCATATTGTGGAAGATAATTGAGGTAATTTAGGCCGAGAACAAAGCCCAGCTAAAAACATTATGTGACTAGGTTCAGACCAATTGACATTGAAAGTAGACATCCAGCAGCTATAACAAGCTTTCAAGGCCAGAGCAAATATTTTAAGGTGTTTATAAAAATTTCTTCTAATTGCAAATATTTATTTGTTTTCATCAAAATAATTAATATGTGAATAAACAAATTTAGATAGCATTATACATCAATTCCCTTCATTTCACACCAGCAAAATTATGTTTGCATTATTTCATCTATCCATCAAAGTAAAAATAATAATCATAATAATGATTGTTATATTATTGTAAATTAATTTTTCAGCCCTTACTAAATAGAATAAAAATATTTGTCTAGTAATATCCATATCAAATGTCTTATGATAGCCACTAATTCATTTAAAAGATTCATTAGAACATGTATTTTAATATAAATAACACTATTCAAAACTAACAATGTAAATAAGATTTATATTTTGAATAATAGAAGAAAAAAGATGTAGAAATTAAAAGGTTATATTATTCAAAATCATTTTAAATTCTTTGTAAAAGTAAGCTCCTTTCTAAACTTTAATTTTGTTATCCAAATATCATAAACTATTTTTTGGTAAAAAAAGAAACTTTTTTTTATTTATGTTTTTGTCTCTGTTATATTTTTTTTCAAACTACATATTTCTCCTGATTCCTATTATGTTTCTAAATTATTACCTGTGATTGAAATTAATAAAAAAAATCTTCAAAAACAGTTTAGTTAATGAAATTCGAAAAATAATAATTAAAGTACAATTTGATCTAAAATTCCGGATAATTTTAACAATTAAGCCAAATTGAAAAGAGAAAAACAAAGGACCGTCTGAAAACGTTTCGAAACTTGTATGAAGGTTTTCTTTCAGTCTTTTTCTCTGGGTGAGAGCAAACCGAGGCAGAGCTCACTTGACTTATCCAAAACAACCACACAGAAATGCCACAGGCAACGTAAACTAGGAAACCCCCAAAACCAAAAAGATTGCAGATTTCCTTTCAATCAAAACGAAAATGCCCCTTCTTCTCTCCAATCCTCTCACCTCGCTCTCTTCACTTCCCCCCTTTTCATCTCCAACTTTGGCCGTCATTGCAACACCAGGTACCCACTTCTTTAGATTTGTCTCATGTTTGCAGTTTTTGCTAATATGGGCTGTATCGACGGTGGATTTTATCATTTCTGCTTTGCAGCACTTGTTAGTATAAGCTTATTTGGTTTCACTTCATGCTCTCTAGCCCGTTTCATCAAACACTTATCACTTGCTTCCTAAGTTCAACCAGTTCTTGGATGCTCGTGCTTTCTATATTATCTCTAGGAAGACTGGTCTTTTCTCTGTTATAACCCCCGACTCAATGTGGGTTTTGCTGAAAATTCCTAAATATTTTATCTTTCTCTTGATTTAGTCTTGAAGGCTCCTATCTGAATTTTGTGCTCGTGCTTTCTATATTAGTTACCATGAAGTTTGTTTATTTTGCTGCTGTAACCCATAATTGAATCTGGGTTGTGCTTAAAATTACGAAATATTAAAGCTTTCACTTTAATTTAGTCTTCAAGACCCATATCTGAATTTTGTGTCATTTTTTAGTTTCTAGGCTGGACGTGAAAGCCTTTGAATTAAAGTTTAAGACTTGGAATGGAGTCCGGTTTCAAAACCCAATTCGTGGAAACCGAATTGGTGCAGTTATTGTGAGAGCTTCTTCGGATATTGATGGAACAGCTCCTACAGAGACAAGTGAGCCTCCTGTAGAAAGTAAAGAGGAGGTTGTGGCAGTTGATAAGTTGCCATTGGAGTCAAAGTTACAGGAGAGAGAAGAACAGAAGATGAAGATGAAATTGGCGAGAAAGATAAGGCTTCGAAGGAATAGGCTTGTTAGGAAGAGGAGGATGAGAAAGAAGGGTCGTTGGCCGCCTTCTAAGATGAAGAAGTTGAAGAATGTCTGAGCGTTACCTCAAGGTTCTGCTTGCAGGTTTAGTGCTGATCCTTTTGGTTCTCATGTAATTCATTTTGATTTTTCTAGTTTCAATATTATTTTATGATCACTTATGTTTTGTTGATTTAAAAGTTGAGAATGTTGAAGAATACAATGTATCTCCAGTTAGTTCTCACAAGTTCAATATTAGATGGTGTAAGACCTGCATTTCTTCGTCCAATTCATTTGCACTTATTGGTTGATTGACGATCCATTCTTGTGAACATATAACTATCATATTAGACGGAGTTTAGTCTGTGAGAGAGTTGGATGGAGGAGTAATCAATGCCAACCAGTGAATGATGCTTGGGACTGGGATTTTATTTAGTTTCCTGTGGTGTAAGTATCATGGGAGGCCCTGCCTAAGTTTCCAACAGTAATGGTCCGAGGAAAATTGGATTCTCGCTGAGCAAAGCACTTGATTCTTACTGTTCCGTCAAATATTTAAATAAATGAAATTCATCATCATTTCACTGTTTAGTAATGAAGACCTTGGAGCTGTAAACAAGTGAACATGTATGCTTGTGGTAATAATAAAGAGACCAGCTGCGTTCCATCTCTTTATGATAACCCACCCTTCTGAACGCATGAAACGTTGAAGAGTTTAAGCAAAATAGAGAAAGGGATACTTGGGTTTGCAGGGATGATTCGAATATTAAAAGACGCAATTTTAAAGTCCTATGGCCTGGAGCAGAACCTCAACACGGGAAATTAGAAATGTGGATTCTCCAGATTTTAATGTTTAATATTTGTATTAAGAAAAATAAGGTGAAATCACTGGTTTAACCTTTCCAAGGTTTGATGATGAACTTGGGTTTTTATGTGGTGGGAGGGGTTTGGCCACATGTTGTTTTCATTCAAGAACTAGTTTAGCAAAAGGCAGGATTGCCTTAAGATGATCTAAGAATACTTTCTAATTTAGGACTGGAAATTGATGATGGTTCTGGTGCTGCTGTTGTTACTGTTTCTTTTTTCCTCTCGTGTTCCATTGACATATTCAATCCAGGCCCAGCAAATGTTAACAGGATGGACCATGAAGCATACTAAAATTTCTGTCTCACCAGACTAAGCTACCAGCATCAAACATACTGGATCGCGCTTAAATCCTCTTAAACCATAGGTTGGACAACAATAGTAAGGCTTTTGCACACCAGTGGGGTGATTAATTAGATCTTCTTTTATGGAGAAACCTGATATAAACTAGGCGTTCTCACACTCCTCTTGTCTCTTGAGAGAGTGTCTTTGCTAGTTATAACATGAAAAGGAAATGATGAACAATTATTGTTTCGGGACAGAAGAGGTAATTATATTTGGATAAAAATAAACATGTTTATATATATATTTTTTGTTTTTAATTTTTTTTAAAAAATTACACGGAGATAAATTTATTTTATATTTTTATCTCAATCTCACTCTTCAATCAAATAAATTTTTGTCTTTTTTATATTTATTCTTTATATCCTGAACACTAATCAAATACAACCTTAATATACAATAACAAACACATGCCCACATTAAACAAGAAAAGAGTGTTAAGTAAATAATCAAAATAAATATTCTTAATCATTTTCTTAAAAGATAAAAGGAAAAAATCAAGGAATTAAATGAATTAATTGATGATTAAGTATTTTGTATAATTTGTTTTATTCTATTTATTTTTCTTGTTCTTGTTGTATGGTTATATAAACTCTACATGAGTTGAATGTACCATATAAACAAATACACATTCTCTCTTTATATATATATATATATATATTTAAAAAATAACATACTCTTCTATTCTAGATTTCGACAAATACAATGCCCACATTAAACAAGAAAAGAGTGATACCACTGAATATACAGCACAAATCCAATGTGTAAAATATTTCTAGCTGTATTTTATAATAACAGTATAATTACTTAAAATAGCAACCCCCCACAAAAAAAAAAAACAAACACTAGAAATGGGAGGATTTTTTTTAAAAGAGGACTTGCAAAGGACTCTCCAGCCAATCCCTCCCACATATTAAAGCCTCTACAATTTCAGGACGTACGTGATTAAAGGTTGAGTTCATCTTCACTGCTTCTTCAGCTGCAGAAGATTTTGAAACGATAGTTGATACAGGAATTGCAAAGAAATCACGAGCCATTCTTCCGAGTATTGGGAATTTTGGAGCATTGGCATGCCACCATTCCAAGACGTTATAATCCTTACTCAAGTTTTCTGGAGGTTGCTCTAAATACTGATCAAGTTCAACCTTCTGCGAATCCAGCGAATTGCTTTCATATTTACGCTTCTGCCACGCCTTGAATCCTTGAAGCATATCTTCAGAAGTTGGATTAAATGATGTGCAGCAATTCACATCAGCAAGAGTGGAAGTGGATGCTGCCGGATTACTGGAGTCACTAGCATATCTATGGTACACCCTTTTAAGATCGTTCTGGAGTCTTGGCAAGAATAAGTTTGCATCACTGCCATAAATCTGGCTGTAGCCGTACTCCACAACATCAAGTCTAAAGCAAGGGTTGAGAATTGTTAAGATTCCCAAAGCCAAGCAAAACTTGCTCCAAAACTCATCAAGTCTCACCAGCATTCTATCTGCCACCGAGCGAACAAATGCATGTTGGCTCCTCTTCCATTGTATCAAATTCTTATAGACACCACAAAAGTTCAGGAAATACATTTCTACGCCTGTAGAAGCATTGCATACGGACTCATGCAATATCAACACTTTCGAGCAGTCCAGTATGATCGTTGCTATGTTCCACTCTTCCACTGATGGATTCACTCTGAAATCGCCGTCAGTTTGTTCAAGGTAAGCAAAGGCATTTCTCAAGTCTAATGCATTCTCGAGCATCGAAAAGGTGGTATCCCATCTTGTAGGAACATCAAGAGAAGCCTTGTTCTTGTCTGGCAACTTCAATTGATTGATTGCCTTCTGAAACATTTCTCTTCTATCTTGTGTTCCGTTGACATATGCAATAGATTCTCTAATCTTACAAAGAACACTCTTTATCTCGAAAAGTCCATCTTGAATAAGAAGATGAACAATTTGTGCATAAGAAGATAAAAAACATCCATCCCCATTGAGAAGAGAGTCTTGGCCCGAAAGCTTACTTTTTAATTCTCCGATCATCTGATCATTTGGAGGAGCAATATTTAACCATATGAAATTCAAATTCTTGCCAATGCCCCACTCTATAAGCACACTTCTAATGATTTCTTGTATAGTGTCTGCATCGTAATTGCCCTGTAGATTCCTGAAAGCAAGAATCTTCTTCTTCTGCTTCCATTCATCATCAATGAAATGCAAGGTCAAGCAACAGTATGTCATCTTTCTGTCGTCAGACGACAGCAATTCAATTGTTAAACAGAACAGACAAGAGAGGTTTTTGAAACATCTGATGAGCTTCTCCTTCTTTTGTCTATAAATAACAAGAACATCAGCTTCAACCATGTCTTTCGAATGAAGTTGAAACATTGGCTGCAAATTCTTCACAAAAGTTACGAAAAACTCATGCTGAACCATATCCAGTGGATATCCATGCTTAATCATCATTCTTGCGATGTTTAGATGACTTCTTTCTTGATCGAACACAAAATTTCTTTGGATAGAACTTATTAAATCATCAGATTCAACCAGAGGTGATGATTGTTGTTCTGCTCCTCCCTGTCTCTTGGACAAGCATTTTTGTAAATGTTTATGTAAATTTGAAGTTCCCCTCGTGCTTTCAGCACGATACCGCTTATTACAATATTTACATGTAGCCCATGCTTCACCATATTTTCCTTCATGCTTCTTAAATCCCTCCCACACACTGGATACCTTTCGTTTTTTGTTAATGACCATGTCTCGGTTGGCATTGCCATTGCTAGGCAACTCTCTTTCAGCATTTATACCTGGAGTAGCCTTTGCATATTGTTCTCTGACTTCCTGTCAGGAGATTGACAAGAAGGATAATTAACCACATGAAGCATGAAGCTATTTATAGCCAAAAATACAATGATATAGACTCAGTTAAGACAATCACCTGTTCAAGAGTCTGATGTGTTTCCATCCCATCACTGGTCTGGTTAGATATGTCTAGTTCCGTGATTTCATTTATGCTTGGAATACCATCTGATAGTACCAGTTGAGAGCTCCTAGAAACAGCTGCTGGTGGGATGCTAGAGACACCTACCTCCCCAAGCATTGCTCTGGAGCCATTAAGCTCATTTGTTTCCATACACCAAAGTTTCCACAAATTACCGCATTTCTTCTGCAAGGTGCATAGGAGTCCATTTATTGAAAGGTGTTGTTCTGAACTTTCTTTCAAGTGAGGAGGGAGAAAAAATTCTACTACGTAATCGTTGATGCTGGTGCTGGTATAGGTGCTTGTGAGCTTGATTGCAACAGCAGCATTAAGGAAATACTTGTGTGCATAGTCAACGAATGGATAATCGACCGCATCCAGCAGAGAAATATGAGGAACAAAATACAGATTCGATTGAAGTGCTTTACCAGCAATACCTTGCCCTTCCTTAATATAGCACTCCACATATCCATCAACAAATCTGTTCTTCCAGCAACTGTTTACAAAGCAAGCCATATCCTCAATCTGTAGAATACGTTTCTCATTTGAATTTGCATTACCCTCCCCACCATGGGAAATCCATGTCAATGCCAGTGGAAACTTATGTGCATGACATACATATTCCAATATGTCATATAGATTAGCTGAAGCAGCTATTTGATCCATCAAAAAGCCCTGAAAGAATAGTAAAAGAATTCTAATATTATATCAGTAATTAACAGCAGCAGAAGCAGCAGATTTCAATGTATGAGATTAACTAAATTGAGTCTCACAAATTAAGGTAGAACTGTCACCAATTTTTCATCAATGAATGTCTATATTTTAACAGCACAATAAGTATCAGAAATCAAATTAGGCTACTGATGCGGATCTTCACCAATTTTGTTTAAAGAAACTACAGGACAATGTAGGATTCATTCCATAAAAAAACAATAAGATTCAAACTGAAACCGCAAACTAGAGGAAAGTAATTGGAAACTTAGAATGCTACCCTTGGAGACCACATACTGTCTTCCCTATCATCTGCTTGTTCATCCACAGACTCAGAAGAAGTCATCAAGTCGGACTTCTCAGCTGGAGGGAACATAGTTACATCTTGTAATGTGATAGAACCTGTCAAAGAGATTACCAGTTGTCCACATTTCTTAAAACCACAAACTTATGAGCATAAACATCGGTATGGGGATAACATAACAGAAAGGAAAAGAATGGAATAAGGTAATTCACCATCACTGAACTGGGATGGGTCAGAGTGTTTCCAAACCGAGGTGACAAGAAGTGGGCAATCATGCCGATATAGCATAGGATGTCCATCCTTCTCTTGTATTCTGTATTTCAACTGGAGAGAATGCCTATCGTTCTTCCACCACTGTTGCATTGGATGAAACCCAGCATGCAATAGCCGCTCCTGCCATTGACACAATGACTCATGCCGCTCGACCCTGTCAATGCCCTCACATGCCACCACGTTCCCAATTTGCCGTCTGAAATTCCTCTTCCACAACTCCATGCCATCCACATCGCGGTAGAAGGTGTCCTCCTCTAGTGAGTGAAAAATAGTGGAGTAGTATTGGAATGACTTAACAAACCGGTCCATGAAATCAGACCCGTTATGATTGGCTTCTTGCTCGACAATGATCATGATGTCTGGTTTCAAATCTTTCACCTTTGAGAGCACCTGCTCAAGGGCACCTTCCTGTGAAAGCAACTTGTGAAGTGAAAACGACCATCTCACAACTAGCATCTCATCCTCCTTTGTCCTTCTGATCTTAGACACACAACATTCAATGATTTCTTTCGCATTATTGGCCACCACTTGTCTCAACTCAAAATCAACTCGGAGCCGTTCAGCAGCTCGAGTGAGTTTGCTGCGTATTTGTTGTAGATAGTTAAAATTCCTTGACAGTTTCGGCACGATGCTGGTCAACCGAAAAGATGGCAGAACACCAGGCTGATTCGCAAGGTCTCGCATCAAATCATGCCACAAAGAGGTGTATAGCATGACTGAGAAATCAATAACATGGAGTGGTTTATTTCCAGTGCGAAAGGCATGGATGGCATGCGTGGTGGTGAAGTAAGAAAACCAGTAGAAAGGATAAAATACATAATTGTAGAAGTCCTCTAGATTTGAGGAAGGTACTAATGGCAAAGGATATCGAGGATGCAGTCCATTGACTCGCCGGACTAAAGCCTCTGCAAAGTTTTTGACAACCTTCCTTGTTGCTATGTTGGGTTCTGTAGAAACTAGATATCTGATTTCCTCCAGAAGTGACTCTGCAAGATCCAGATTACCACCTTCAATTGCCTTGGCACTCTCCACCAATTTATTGAAGAGAAGATTGGCCATTGTAAGCAACAAAATCTGATGAGCTGAATCAAATTTTCTGTTTTAAGTAGAATAATATTAAAAGACGTCAATATCATCCCAGTTGCTTCCTCGATGCTGGTAAATGTTTTCATGCAACTGGCAGTCCATTGACTTTATTTCCATGAATTGAAATAAGAAAAATTCAGTAAATCAAAAAAAAATAAAAATTCAGTAACTATATAAAAAAAAAACGTAATGCTTCCAAGCTCTAAAATCACAGAACTAAACTATAAAAAAACTCTAATTTAATAATTTCTGAATATCAATGATTCTTAACAGAAACTTTCGAATCTAATTTTGGCATAATCTCGGTAGGTATCAGTGTGCTGACCTCATAAGCAACCCAGCTCTATCCAATGAATGATAAACTCGTTGAAATAGTCCAAACTTTCTCCAAATCAAGATTTATACAATAAACGTACTGCATCATAAGGATGCGTTTACTCTCTTAGAGATCAGAACTTGATCTTGAATGACAATATAAACAGTGTAGAAATCACTATTTTATTTGTCTTTCAGCAGTGATATCGAAATCGTGTATATATATAATATATAGAAATCACATTAATTTATCAGGGATTGACTGGTAGTCATTGACTTTACTTCCAAGAAATGAAGTATAGAAAAATTGGCTCTGAAAAGTCCTCCTTGAGAGACATTTTTTTAATCAGAACTTGATCTTGAATAACAACATAAACAGTGCAGAAATCACAATTTTACTTGTTCCTTTAGCAGTGATGTTGAATCATATAATTCTTTTTTTTTTTTTTCTGTAGTAGTACTTGTTACAGCATGAGATAGGAGAAGTCTTGCTTCCACTTCATTGCAATTGACAACTGGGCTAACCCCAACAGCAAATGGCTATGCAGAAATCATAATTTACAATGTCCCAAGACTGTTCCAGGAAAACAACAATCATGCACAGGTGGTTCCAAAATTGCGTTGAACTTGAAAACAAAAAAAAAATATTAAGCCAAGATCACCACAGGTAAAGAAAAATCAAGTTGCTGGACCTTCTATGGTAAATGTTAATTCCTCTAAATTTTTTATCAGACTCCCTTTTGTGATCTCCCATTCTTTCCTACAGACAAGTATTTTCAGAATTTGGTAAAAGAAAAAGATTTAGCTAGTATTTGTTTGGCATCGAGGTTTGACCTATTTTTTATTAAAACTTGATTTTTTTTACTTTGTTTTTATATATTTTTAAATAAAAAATATTTTAAAAAATAATTTTTACAAAATAGTTGATGAAAACACCATGTAAAGAAGCTGAAGAGGTCCCCCCAAATTTTAGTCCACCAGGCCGCCACCCTACAACTTTTAACCAAGTTAAGGCCAAAATAGTATAGAGTGAACAATATGGTCCGGCACTTTCACCATTGTCAAGCCTCGGAAAGAAAATAAGAGGATAGACAAAACTGATATTGATTAGTAAATTCAAGTTTACAAATTGTGAACTAAGTACAAGAACCTTTGAGGAAAAAGAAAAGAAAAGAAGAAACCTAAGCAATAGAACTTAATTAGTGTTAAAAATAATCCTATAAAAACTAACATGAAAAATCACTACTCTAGTCAGGAAATAGGTCCTGACTTCATGGCCATATAAGCTCATCAACCTGATCATCTTCATATAGCGTTCTTCCATTTGCAATGCTTGGAAGTTAGCAAACCATGCAATGGGGCTCATTCTTCAAGTGCTGGATGAAGCCAGCATCCATAACGGGACAGCTCTCACTTCTGGCGGTACTGCATTGTCAGAAGTTGCCGTGTTCTCGCAAACAACGGCAGCAGGGAAATTAAAACCCTTCATCGCCATTGCAGCTATTGCAAGAGAGCTATCTGTTGACTTTAATCAATTATAAACCCAAAGTTATTGGAAGAATCTTCAGTAGAGCTGCAAACTCCAAGCCCCATGATCTTCTGATTTTCAATGGTTCTGTTGGAAAGCTATGATACCAATGGTTGAAAAGCTCTGATATCATTAATTGTTGAAAAGACTAAACAATCAATTATTTAACATCGCAAGCTTTTATTCATTACATTCAACACTCCTAAAATTTTGAATACTTTGAAAATTATAACATTCAATTATCATAATCCAATAAGAATTCTAGCTAACTAATTAAATAAAGATTTTAATTAACTTGTATAACACAAATCCTCTTTGTCAATGATTCTACTTACACTAGAATTTTAACTAACACCTCACATCTTCATTGCCCGCCATTATTGGTTCAGTGCTGATGATTGGATCCTCGTTGAAACTCTGAACAATATTCAGATCGTTGAAAGGTAGCTTCCGATAGACCCATCAACTCATAATCCTCGACTGAAATAGGTTTTTCCTGATGATTGCCATTAAAACATGCAAGAGCCATCTGTTGATGTTCATTGATCATTGGTTCTTGAATGAAGTTTCCAAGCCCAGGCTCGAACTGCAATCCGACAGGTTCACCGTTGACGAATGATATCTCATCATCAAAAGAATATTCAGTAGAGAAACCTCCATCGTTCTCCCATGCAACAGAAGCCGCCTCAAACCACATCTCCTGATTTGCAGTAATCTGCTGCGGTTCTTGAGCTTTTGACAGATCAGGTCCCGAGTTGACGGTCATGGATGCCCCAGGCTCCATTGAAACTGTTGCAGCCTCAAGCCACATGTCCTGATTCTGGATAATCTGCTGGGGTTCAAGAGCTGGTGACCTTATAGGTATAGAGTTGATCACTATGCTTTGCATGATCTTGAGTATGTCATCATCTTCAGCAACTTCAAAAACTTCTGCATTGATGTGTTTCCTTTTTCTTGAGGTTGGTTCCTTATTTGAAGAACCACGTTCACTCTTCTTGAGCTGAGAGATCACAATATTTTCAGAAATAGATTCTGAACCATACTCCAACAGTATCCAACGATCCTTGACTGGTTTTCCATGTTTGCGGTATCGAAATCTTTTCTTCGTTCCAATAACAACTCCTTCACTGGATTTTACTTCCTTGCCACCATCACCATGCCAGGTACCGCCATGAGTACCAACACTTCTATTCATATTCTTAATACCATTGGTTGTTTTCTTATGTAACGTCGTAAGAAAATAAAGCCCATTATCACCAAACTTGTGACCCTGAAATTTGTTGAATATGTCCCAGGGTTCTTCTTCACCATAAAGATCGTAGTCCTTGATCAAGGTGGCATCTTCTCGATGTAATCTTCCATGAACCTTGTTGTATAGATAATAGCTGATCAGTTCTTCTTCAGCGGGGACGAACTTGAATCCAGGAGGTGGGCGAGGAAGACCGTTTTGCATTGTGCAACACAAGAATATGATTAGGGTTACGATATTGATCAATGATAAAGAGATCTACTGCTAGGGTTTTTTTTTTTTTTTACTATCAGGAGAGATCAACTGGTTTATATATAGGGAGAGAGTCAAGGAATCAGTTCAGTGTTTGGTTTAATTAGGATCATTACAAGATATACTGCGGATTATCCAATTAAATATAAGTTGTCTAATATATATTAATTAATATTTTCAGGGTAGATTCCAAAGCGCGGGTGGATTGTTTAAACGGTTGCAAACGATATGGTGGAAGAAGACACTGTGAGTGGTAACGGTTGCAACGATATGGTGGTTAAAAGTAGTTGATGCTGCTTCCATTCCTATAGGCTTCCTCTTCTCCCTCAACAACAATGCTAGCTTTCCGCAGGTTTCCCCGCCATCATCGGTACGTATCTGATTAATATTTTCTAAATATCTCCATATTGGTTTTAAATATTCCTTGTACATAATAGCAACTTTTTAATATATATCATATACAAAAATCTTAATAATTATAGTTAATATTAATCTTAATATGATATTAATTAAAAATATTTATAAATAATATTTTAATACAATAAAAATCATCATAATTATAACTACCATAATTTCCTTTGTAATACAAATTTTCATATTTATAACCACCCTAATAGGTGAAGAGGAAAGTGAGTTAGAGGAAGGAAAAGGTTATTTTTCTCCTATTTTATTTTTCTTAGACGAAATCTAGAAAAAATTAATTAAATTAATTAAGTATTTAAGAGTGAAATAGAAAAAAATAATTAAAAGAAAGTAAAAAAAAATTAAATCAACCTAGGTAAAGCGTTAAACATGTAATCACATGCATCAGATTGAAATATTAAATTTATAGTAAAACAAAGCAAAAAAAACAATAAAAATTCTCAAAGTCAACAATCAAATATTAAATAAAAAAATTAAAAAAATTAATTTTATAAAAAACTTAAAAAAAAAACGAAAATTAACTTATATTAAAATTTAAAACTCATGATCCTAGTCATGAGTTTAAGACCAACTTTATAGAAGATAAATTTTTAAAAAAAATTAATTAAAATTATATAATAAAATGATAGAAGATGAAATTGAGTGAAAAATACAATTAAAAAAATAACAATTAAAAAAATAAAAACTAAATTTGATATAAAAATATTTTGAAATTTAATTATGAGTTACATTGAAAATCAAATTTCAATAGGAATGGGATAAAAAATTATTTATGAAAATATAAACCTAATAATCTTTGTTTGCTTTATTAATTATATCACTAAATCTATTCTCATAACATAAAAAAAAAAAAATTACGTTGATATGATTATAGAACCAGAATATCCAAAAATTCTGAAACACAGATAAACTATATTTAAAACGTAAAAAAAGGTAAAGCTAAGCATAGCTTGGTCCGTATTGACATGGTAATAGGTGCGAGCTCATAATATTTATTTATTTATATTATTACATTTTTTTAAATCATCTAATTTATTAATTACAACACTAAAATGCATAATTATTAAGTTTGGACCGCCCATTTTATTAATCCAGAAAACCTAATCTGAGTTGAATTTTTAATTAAACCAAATAATATATAAACCAGGATAAAAACCCAATTCAAATTTGGTCACGATTGATATCATATAAAAAAACAAATAAAGTACTATCCTTAAAAAAATAAAGGTTAACCAAATAATCTCAATGAACCAGAATTTTTTTAAATTAAATTAGTTTTTTAAAATTAATTTTAATAAACTAATAAAAAATTGAAAAAAATATAATTTTAACCGTGCATTTAATATTAAACACATAAATATATGGGTCATAAAATAAACAAGTCCTAATACATCTAAGCCCATTAGAATCGGATAATTGTCAGCCCATCTAAAGCCTGCCTCTTTCCATATACCCTTGCACGCAATAAATAAAACTTCTCCCGCAGATTTCTTGCTCAACACCCCAAGCTCGCTCAGCTCTTCCTCCTTTTCTGCTCGTCTCCTCTGCTCTTCCCCACACATCAATCAATCATTATAATGTCGGCGATGGTACTAGACCCGAAACCCGCCCCAGCCACCGAGCCAAGATCCGACCTTGTTCTGGACCCGTCAACCATACCCATCGAAGACGACGATCTTTACAGTCGCTTAAAGTCTCTCCAAAGGCAGCTCGAATTCATCGAAATTCAAGAAGAGTATGTGAAAGATGAACAGAAGAATTTAAAGCGAGAACTCCTCCGTGCGCAGGAAGAGGTGAAGCGGATCCAGTCGGTGCCGCTTGTAATCGGGCAGTTTATGGAGATGGTGGATCAGAATAATGGGATTGTTGGGTCTACTACGGGTTCGAATTATTATGTCAGGATTTTGAGTACGATTAATAGAGAGTTGTTGAAGCCGTCGGCTTCTGTGGCGTTGCATCGTCACTCTAATGCTCTCGTTGATGTTCTGCCGCCGGAGGCTGATTCTAGTATTTCTCTGCTTAGTCAGAGTGAGAAGCCTGATGTTACTTATAATGTAAGTGATAAACTTTTGATTTGTGGGTTTTTGAATTTGGGTGTTTATACTTTGTAACTTGGTGATTTGACCAGCTAGGGTTTGGTAATTTGGGGTTAAGGATTTTTATGGTTTGCTAGGGTGGTAAAGATTGTGTTTGTGATGTAAGGTTCAATTTTTGAAATTAGGGTTTTTTGGGGCATTTCGATTGGTAAATTGGTGACTGATTGAATTGGTTTTTTTTTAATTTGGGTTTGTAAATTTGGTTTAAGAGTTTCAATATATACCTAAGTTGATATTAGTTACTCAATAAAGTAAGCTTCAATAAATTTGGTTTAGGAAGTTTCTTTTGGTTGGGATTTGGGTTTTTTAAGTTACTAATTTGGTGTTTGAGTAGCTAGGGGTTCTTTAATAAGGGTTATGAAAAATTGGGGTTTTGTATATTGGTTCTGTTTTTTGAATTAGAGTTTGCTGTATACCCAAATTGCTGATTGATTAACTAGGGGTTTGAATTTTACAATTTCTAAAAATAGTCTCATTTAGGGTTTATTTTGTAGTTTTCTGCTTGGTTCAGTACCCTTGTGGATAAATTGTTTTCACGTGAACACTGCTGTTGCTAAATATATGTGTTTTCTGAAAAGAAGTCAGATTTTGTTCTTTGTGAGTTTTTGTAGTTGGAGCCTGATTATTGTTTTTTCTCATAGGCCGTAATTTTGTTTTAATGGGGGCTTCTTTAAGTTTTTTTTTATTTTTAATTTTTGGTTTGAGATTTTTTTTAACTACTGGAATCTAGAGAATTGTGTATGTTTTGATTTCTAGTTCTTGCACTAATGATCAAGTGACATAGGGCCACAAGCTGCAATATTCATTACTTTGTGTCATTTAGTTTCTCATTTGAGTTCAAGAATCTAAATCTCGACTGACACATGTTTCCTATTCATCTATGATATTGCCAGGACATTGGAGGATGTGACATTCAAAAGCAGGAAATTCGCGAGGCAGTTGAGTTGCCACTAACTCACCATGAGCTGTACAAACAAATTGGTATCGACCCGCCTCGTGGTGTCTTGCTCTATGGTCCTCCTGGAACTGGAAAAACTATGCTTGCTAAGGCCGTAGCTAATCATACAACAGCAGCCTTTATTAGAGTTGTTGGCTCTGAGTTTGTTCAGAAGTATCTGGGCGAGGTATGTTTTGCATGTCCCAGTGGTGTTAAATTATTTGAGTTATCATTAACAGTTTCATTTATTTGCGTGTTTTAGCTCCTTATGAAAGTTCTTAGAATCTGAAATTAGTTGTCTATTCCCCAATAAAGATAAAATCATGTAATTCATTCCTCTATAAATCCACCTGATAACCTTTTCTTGTCTCATGTAATATCCATCTGAGGAATTAAAAGCAGAATCATTGTTTTGAGAAGTCTCTTGACATTTGGTAGCTTTACTTTGTGGACATACTTGACTGGTGATGATTGCCTACATTTGCACCCCCATTATAATGTCTTTTCCCTTCTTTGATTCCAGGGTCCCCGCATGGTTCGTGATGTTTTTCGTCTTGCTAAAGAGAATGCCCCGGCAATTATTTTTATTGATGAGGTAGATGCTATTGCTACTGCTAGGTTTGACGCTCAAACTGGAGCTGATAGAGAAGTTCAGCGTATTCTGATGGAGCTCCTGAATCAGGTATGTGTGATGAAAATCTTTACATAATTCACAACAAAAAAAAATTGTCTGGCATGTAAAGTCGTGTTTTTGTACTTAAAAGGGTTTTTTGTTCCAACTGTAAATAGCTTCATTATGATGCACATGTTATGTTGGTTGCCTTAGTTATCAGTTATCTACTTTTGTTGATGATTGAATTCTGCTATAGATGGATGGGTTTGATCAGACAGTAAATGTCAAGGTCATAATGGCAACTAATCGGGCTGACACTTTGGACCCTGCACTTCTGCGTCCTGGAAGACTTGACCGGAAAATCGAATTTCCTCTGCCTGATAGACGGCAGAAGAGGCTTGTTTTCCAGGTAATTTCCTTGTATGTTTCAAATGGGAATATGTTATTTCTCATATTTTATAAGATTGATGGATTCATCCTCTTTGAACATCTTCTTATGTTCTGACATCATTGTTTCACAGCATCTTATTTCACAATGTATTGGCATTCTGGATTCAGTTGAATTTACTTTGAGTTGGTTTGTTTTTGTGCAGGTTTGCACTGCAAAAATGAATTTAAGTGATGAGGTGGACTTGGAGGATTATGTGTCTCGACCTGATAAAATTAGCGCTGCTGAGGTTGGTTGCTTTTGCAATTTATTGTTAGCAGCTGGTTTTTCAAACCTGCATTTTCTTTCTTATACATTATGCATATTTTCTTTCACCTGATTTCCTCAGTGCTACACCCCTATGGAGATCTTATAATCATTGAGGTTCTGGTTTATTTGGGAAGGAAAACAAAGGCTTGTAGGAATCAGAGGTTGGATATAAAGTTAAAGCTATATATTATGGTTTTGTTTGTCACAGATAAGGTCATAAAGTTCAGTAGATGTCTTTAGTGGTTCTTTAATGTCAAGCTAATTAATTTCTTATAAGATGCTTTTTATTAGGGATAATGTGGGTAACTAGACGTCATAGAACTCTTGCATCATGTAGTGATACTACCAGAATATTGCATTACAAGGAATGTGATGCAGCAAATTTTTGGGATTAGGTTATGCATCCCATACATTGTGGATAATTGAGGTTAATTGTGGATATGCATTTGTTATTTTATGAACTTCTCAATTTTTGGCCTGTTCTTCTCCCTTGAGCCCTTAGCTTGTGTATGAATGTTTTCAACTGTGAAATAAGGTGGATATTAGAAATGAGAGAGGTTTAGATTGTTAATGTTTCAAAAGCAATTCCCCCTCCCTGTAACTGTCTATGCTAATTTTGGCTATAACTAAATTTCTTACTATCACCTGCAATTGAATGGCTGTTTACAGATTCAAGCTATTTGCCAAGAAGCAGGCATGCATGCAGTTCGCAAGAACAGGTATGTCATACTTCCTAAGGACTTTGAGAAAGGCTACCGAACCAATGTGAAGAAGCCTGACACTGACTTTGAGTTCTACAAGTGATATCTGGAAGCACGCACATCATTTATCATACAACTCGTTGCTCGTGTTGGTGAAGTTATGTAGGCAACAAACAATCTGCTCACCTTTTGATTTTGTTCTGTGAGATATTGAGAAGAAGATTGCATTATGTAGTTTGGTTTTATATGCATTTGGAATCGTTTTCTCGTTTCAACTCGATATATTTTCTGTTTTACATTGTGTTTAGATGATTTATGAAGCTGGACATTATCACTGGTTTGACTGTTTGCCAATCGTAGCTTATGAATGGTAGACATGCTATGTTTCTTTAAGAATGCCATCTCCTCGACAAGTGAATGTGTAAAGGAAAAGAACTGTTAGTGATGTGGCCTAGAAATGTGGATCAGCGTTGCTGGTTAACTCTAATAATAGGCGATTAGATTGCTTGATCAACTGAAGGATGGAAGAAGATGTATCTAAATAAGGCGAACTAGGTGTTTAGGCAGTTGTAGCCCTTTGTTGGAAGGTAGAAATTCAATTTTGTGTGTCAGAGCTGCCATGCCTGTGAACCCTGCCTTCAGGGTTTCTCAGGTCACATATTTTCCGGCACTCGCAACTACGTGCTCTGTTTCTGTCCTTACTTTCAGGTATTTTTTAAAAGGGTAGCATTTGGCCTCTTTTCGAGCGATCAGGATGCGGTCAGCTACCTCGTTTTGTCTCCATCATCAAAACTAGAAAATGCTGCCGTAGATTACGTCTAATGATTCTTGCTATCAGTTTAGCAGCAGGGCCCTAGCTTGAAACCAACATAACTTGTTTACGGGCTGGGCTTCTTGATGAAGTGCCCAATTCTGAGATAGGGATGAAAAAGTTTCATAGTATGAAACCATGTCTCTCCGTTTCATATCCGTTCTGATAAACGCCCATGAAGAATGCTTGACGGGTAATGGGACTGGGATGGGCTAGAAAGTCCCACCCGTCATTTTGCAGAAATAGGTCCCTAGGTACGAGTCCCTCTTAAAATTTATTAAAGGCACTAAAATGTTTTAATAAGAAATATTTAATTGGTGGCATTACATTTAAGGATGAAAAAAAAACATCTACTTGGTTCTAGGCTTCTGATAGGGGTTTGGTGGTCTAGTCGATTTAAGTTGCTTTTTTTTTTAATTTAAAAAAAGGTAAAAACTAAAATAAAATTATTTTAAAATAAATATTGAGTTTTTCCACTAACCCGGTTGGGGTCAGGTTCTAGGTTAGTGAAACCAGATACTAGAAGTAGGGTCAGTAGGGCAAGAAAGCTACTAACTAAGAGGTAAGGGTCATGAATTTAATTTAGGTGGATGCATCGAGAAAGATCGTTCAAATAAAATAATTAGTTAATCTAAAAATATTTTATTCTGTCGAGAAACAATTTAGTCTTATGAGTCCAGCAGGCCAATTAACTATTTACTAAAAGAATATCGCCTTGTATTTATTCATTTTCTTGCACCTCTGTGTCCCTGGCTCGTCCTTCTCTTTTCTTTTTTTCTAAGAAAATACTTGTTTTGGCAAATTTTTTTTAATTTCATTCTTTTACATTGTTTTCATATGCTTAATAATTTATTTTAATTTATATATTAAATTATACTCGCATTGTGAAAAAAAAAATATGGTGTCATTATATTGGTGCTCAATTTTGCAAAATATGATTTCATTTTATCGATATAAAAAATTAAACAATAGGAGGCGACTTTAACACAAGGAAAAAACTACTACATTTTTTGGTGAAAAACTATAGTTTAGTCCCTGTGATTTTTTTACTTTTTCATTTTTAGTATTTTTTTTTTATGGGTTCCACTTTTCACTATTACAACTTTATTTGCTTTATGTTTCCATCCCTAAACTTTAAAAGGAGGGATAGTGATGAAAAACAAAGAAAGAGAAAATAGTTGATATACTGTATTTTGGCATCTAGATAACTGATTTTTGTGTCAATGGATATCTCTTTACAAGGAAAGTCTCATTAAGGTGTTGTTTATCATTCATGTGAAAAAAAAAGGTTATAGGCTCAAGAGAAGTTGTTTGGTTTATTTTGATTTTAGGTTTTTTAAAAAAAAATTAATAAGATTGTGAACAAGTTTATTAAAGTTATTTGAGTGTTTTTAGATTAAACAAATAGTTAAAATTATGTTTTTAGATTTTTAAAACTCAAATATTAACTTTCCAACCTCTAGAGGTGACCTTCGATAATCATAAATCTAACTAGTAGATGATATATCCTCTGTTTTAAAAAAAAAAATGATAAATGATGTGTTGTTAGGCTGAGCTTCCAATTCCATACACATCCTGTTTATTTTCCTTAGGTTAGGTGTTTACGCTAGAAGCTCAGTCCTATTTTCTAGATATTTTTAAAAAATTTGGCCAAAAAAATATTTTAATCAATTAATTAAAATAATATTTAGATGATTATCCAATCAGTTATGTTTTTTTAAAAAATTATGTTTTTTTATATATTAATATTATCAATTTTTTATGAATAGTTGTATGTTAGCCTAACATATTAAATTTTTTTAAAAAAATTCTCATTAATATTTGATGATAATAGAATATCTATTTTCTTTACTATATTTTTTCATATAATTTTCTCAAATTTCTTGTTTTTAAATTTCTTTATATAGGTGTGTAAAAATAATCATTGATGATTCTTTTAATTTTTAATTGTAACCTACTTTCACAATTGTAATAGGTTTTTGGTTGAAAAATATACTTCTTAGTTATTTCAAAATAAAAATGAAATGTACAGAGAAGAAGATTGGTTTTTTTATTTATTAAAAGTATACTTTTTTTCTTCTCTTTTTTCTTTTTTGTTCAAATCATAGTAGGTTTTATAAATTTTTTTATTATTTCTTTTTATTCATTGAGCTATAACACTAGTAAAAAAATTGAATTGTTGTCGTAACAAAAAAAATAGATTGATGAAAAAAGGCTTGGAGAATAAAATAACATTTCTCATTCATAATTTTATTTGTTGTATTTTTTATGAATATTTATTTTTATTATTGAATAATTAAATAAAAAATAAGGTTTTTAAACCAAATCAAAGCTCATGATCTAAGTTATGAATTATATAAGTGAACCTGAATAAGTTTTAAATGATATTGTTTCAATATAAAAAAAACATTAAAATGATATAATTTTTTAAAAGAAAATTTTCTTCAAAAAGTTAAGTTAGGTTTTGACCGAGTCAACCGAGTTAGTGGTGGATCATCCAGTCAATCAAGTTATAATATGACAACTTTTATTTGGTTTTATTTAAAACTTAACCCAGTTCAAAGACTATTTTGATAGAACATCAAAGTGACTTACCACATTAAATTAGGTTTAATAACACCACCAAAATATTTTGTGCAACAATGCTCATAAAACTAACAATTACCAATAAACGAGGAAAAGTATTGTTCCATGTAATAAAACAATTATGGTGAAATGCACTTGTTTTATTATTTATATGAACAATAAAGTAGATGTTCTTTCTTTTAAAAAAAAAATTTGTTATTTTTTCCCTCAATCTCATTCTTATCTTTTGTGAATAGTTGTTTAAGTTATTTTTTGAATGATTAAATCAATTAAGTCACATCAAATCAACTTTTACACATTTTATTTTAAATATAGGTTAGATAAAGAGCTAGATTGGGTTATTTTTAGACCGATCGAATCAACTAGATCATGTCAAAAGGCTCTCACGTGGTTTAATTTAATACCTTGGCTAAGTAAGGAGTGGGTCAAAAGAATTTTTTGGTTAATTTTTATAATTTTATTTTTATATTTTTTTATGGATTGACAAAGTTATTTTTTTACTAAATGTTGACACGGTTTCATTATAAATCGGAAAAGAAATCAGGTCAAGAAATTTTAAAATTAGCTCATTGAATTAAATAGTTTTTTATTAAATAATAATATTAAAAAAAATAATGTTATTAAATAGTTTTTTATAGCTTGAACAGTTTTTATTATTTATTATGCTAAAAAGTTCTTTTTGATCCGCTAGAATAAGGAAGAAAGAAATGGGATAGTGGTCAAGGCTTTATGGTCTACGCGTAGTCTACGGTTATTAATGATCTCAGTCTCCACGAACCCACGTCGTTTTGGCGGTAGAATCAATGAATCATGTGTCTATGGCAAGTTAACAAATGCTTTTCTTTTTCAACCAAGGAATAATCTCACTCACAAATAGTCTGGAAGGTTCATTGGACGTCAAGAAACTGAAAGTATTTTGGACAGTCCTTTTATGGAGAGTCTACCCGTTATGTTTTAAATCATGAATAAATTTATATTTTTATAAAATTTAAAATAATTTTTATTTAAAATAATTTTTTTATGTATTTTTAGATCTTTTGATATACTAATATTGAAATTAATTTTTAAAAAATAAAAAAATATTATAATAAATTTTCAAGTAAAAATATTTTAAAACGTAACTGATATTATATTTTTAAATAAATACGCAAACTTATTAAATAACTATAACTAGTATGCCATCATGTGTTATAATGAATTGGAAACTTATCTAAGTCTCTATCAAAAGAAACAAAGGAAGAAACTCTATTATCTACATTTTGCTCTACATTTTGCTCATCCCTCCAAGCACCATGTGAGTGATCATCTTTCCAAAACAAGTTAAGAGAATAGTGATGCCTATTAATTGCATTCAAATTCAGTATTTGGAAATTATAATTGCTTTCAAATATGACGTTTAATCAGTAATGGAGGAGGATTAATTAGATTTACTCTAACTCACTCATTTTTCAACAAGAACACTGTTTGAAAAATCTTATGATGTTTTAGTTGTAACTCATGGATACTTACAATGCAGAAGAGAGATTAACACCAAGACAACACAGAAAAGAGATAATGTAGCCCCACAAAGAGTTATAAGAATTTCTTCTTTTATTAATATATTTTTTAAATTTTCCTTTTTCTCGTTTCTCTGTTCCATTTATATTTATATAAGTATTCAGTAAAACAACGGGAGTATCATCAAATATTTTTCTCATGGTTGATCAATGCATTAATATCAAAATTTGATATATATTAGGAAATAACTTGAGATAATCAAGCGTATTTTGTTTTTAGAATGAAACAATTAAGCATAGTTTCTTACAATTACTGTTTCTCACATACAGAGTTATAATTACTCTCAAGGCCAGTTAGGAAATCCTAGAAAGATTGGATTTGAAAAGAGAAACCAGAAAATATTTGTAGACAAGGAATCGACCTTAGAAAATAAATTAATTTCAAAAAGCATGATTACCACTTTTATGCCCCCAGAAACAAAATTTATTTGAGTCTAGATATCTTCTTATAGATATGGGAATCAAGAATTGAATATGAGTTCTTAAATTTTCTCTCTTAGCCTCAAGTTTAACCATTTACCTTTTAATATTTAGTTATTTATAGGAAAAGATTTTAATTTAACCTTGGTTTTAAGTTTACACATGATGGTTTAACTTTTAAGTTTAATTAATGGATGATTGAAGAGTGATTAAAAAAATGGGAATGGGAACTTAATGTGGAATTGGTAATTAATTTATATTTTTTATATTAACTTTAATTCTTAAAGTCTTTCAAAGAAAAAAAACTTGAAGTCAAATTAAAAAACAAAACAAAATTATGTACAAAGGAGAGTTAGCAACCATGTACGTATTCCAAGGCCAAATCAGTACGTACCCTTAAAAGAAGAGGTGAACTAATTCTCAAATCAAAGTTGTTATTCCTCAGATAATTTCCCTAAAATTGGAAAAAGAACACCTTAACATCAATAAAGAGGGAAGAAAAGGAAACCCTAAAATGAAAATTAAACATGAAGGACACAAGAAGTCAAAGGTCAAAACTATTCATTAGTTCCTTGCCATTTACGTTCCTTACTGATACATGGAATGAGAGATATATTTCCATGCATGGAGGATATGAAATCAGTTCTTCCTCCATATATACCTCACACCCTCATCTCTTTCAAAGCCACAAGCAAACTCAAACTGATCACTCCATTAGCATAAAACCCTTGTTATCAACTCTTGCCATGTCTTCCACAGAGCAAAATAGTGCTGCAGAAAATATGAATAGTAATAGATCGAGACTTGATCTAAGCCTAATGGATTTCTTTGAGGGAAACTCGAGCGGAGAAAGGCGAATGTTCAAATGCAAGTACTGCAAAAACAAGTTCACCACTTCACAAGCACTAGGAGGTCATCAAAATGCCCATAAACGTGAGAGAGCCATAGAGAAGAGGGACAAATTGCTGAGTGAGCATATGACTTATATACCATACCCATTCTGGGACATGGCAATAAGATCTCCCATGCATTATTCTTCTCTTGGAAAGAACCTAGGGGTTGATACGAGTTCTATGATTCATAAGCCCTATAGCCATTGGTTCCGTGGTGGTTTTGGACAGGCCGGTGGACGGCGTTATGGGGGGCCATCAAGGCCACATATTATGAACCATCAACCTAGCTCGTCCCATATGCAAAATGGAGGGCTGCAGCCTATGCCTAGCGATATCTTTACAAATGGCAGCCATACTGGGGGATCTAGCACTTCAAAGAATCAGAAGGAAGAAGGGCCAAGACTTGAGTTGTCGCTTAAACTTTAATCAGCCATTTCTCTAGTCATTAATAAGCATTACATGCATGTTAAGTTATACCTTCTTCGATTATACTTTTCTATTTCATTTTAAAGCCCGTTGTCTTGAGGTACACAATCTCCTTCTCAAAAAGCTTTGTTCCTTCCTTTCATGTGTAGTTTTTCCTTCTTTGAGAGTTTGACATTGTTTTCATCTTGACGATTTTATAATCTCAGAAGAGGAGAATTTGGCAAGCAGTGCGCAAGTAAAAAAAAGAAAGACATGTTATTAAGGGAAATTAATCTGATTACTCTCCTACCAAGAAAGGAATATGCGAACTTAATTAATGAAAAAATCCTGAAATATTATAGTTTTTCTATTATAATTAATTTAATGTTCAAAGTGCCCTTATACCGTCAAGCAACAGTGTCAACTTATAGCTAATAATCACAAATTAAATTATACTACCAAAAACAAGAATAATAAGTTTAATCAGGTTAGATTAGTCCACCGCATTGATGGTGATTTGAGCCAATTTACTGGAAGTAATACAAGCTCATAAGCACTTGGTTGGTGAATTTGTTTTCCAATTTTATTTTATTTTTTTTATTTGAGAAACTCTATTCTCGGAAAACGGTGAGTTTAGATGAACGAGTAAAACTCAGATTGTTTCAAATTCTTATAAAAAAAATGCATGCTCTAACTCAAACTCAAGATTTGTTATGCAAATCTCAAATTTTTTGTCATCACGCTACGTTTTCCGGAATAATTTGTTTTTGTTTTCCAATTAAGAGTAACTACTTGATTAATTATATTTCTATTATAATAAAAAAAAAGAGTATTTATTCGTTTCTTAACTGCAAGAAAAATTTTTACTTAGCAAAAAATCTGAGATTATTTTTTCTTTTCTGGTTTGACAATGATAAACAAGTTATTTTACAAGAAATTATTAAATATTTACATATCAGAATGGCTTTTTTCCAGTACTCATAGAAAATGAAACTCATCATAATAATTATTTATAAATTTTATTTTTTTATAAAATAAAATAAAATAAAAAAAGTTAGAGATCAATGTACCGAAATTACCACAATTTGTTATGATTTTGACTACTAGGGTTTAGGGAAGTAAGAATTTCGACGTGAGGGTGCGAAAGTATAAAGATATATAATATATGTGCATATCTTTTATTGTGGTGGACATGCATAAAGATATAGTAATTCTAAGCAAGTATCTTACGAATACCAATATCCTTTCCAAATGGCCTTAATTTTTCACATTATGTTTTATATAATTTGTGAAAAGTAACTCTTAATTTTCAGTCTTAATTTAAAAGTAATTTTTTTTATAAATAATTTATGATAAAAATAAGTTTAAGTTTGAAGTATTATATTCGAAACAAAAGCCTAAATCAATTAGTAAAACTGATCATACCAAACAAAACCTTAATTTTAATTAATAATTTCTTAATAACTATTATATATAAGCCGTAATTAGAGAAGGAAAAATACAAAAAAAAAAAGTATATGGATAAAACATTCATAAACAACGTTAACACTTGTATTTACTAAAAAAAAGGTTTGAAATATGCTTTTTAAAGATAATTTTACTCGTTAATTGTTAATTAATTTGTTTGCTAGGATTGTTAATTCTAGTAAAAACTTGTAAAGGTTTTATTCCACAAGTGTGTGTGTGTGTGTGTGTATATATATATATATATATATATA